TCGGCACACCCTACAGCCGAACCTACTGGGCGCGAGCGGTCCTGCAGCCGGACCATATCTCGGTCGTGTGGGCTCTCGCCCAGGGCCGTCGGCTGTCCGGCGCCTTGCTCCCTCGGCCGACATCGCTCAAGCGTAATCCTGGACTGCGGCCGCCGCGAGGTCGGGAACGGCAAGAAGGAGGACGCCGACTGGTGGCTGGAGTTCTATGTGAAGCTCTCGCGCGCCGCGCGCCACAAGGACCTCCTGCTCATGCGGGCGCCGCGCATCGAGCTCTTTCCTGGCAGGGCCGCCGGAGGGCTTGCGGAAACAGCTGGGCCAGTTTTTGCGGCGCGCGCGAAGCGGTGCAGGAGGGAGGCGACGGCCCTCGGCAAGGAGCTCGGCTTCACCGACTTTATCCGCGACGCCTGACCTGAGGAGCGCCCCCCCCCCCCCCCCCCGGAGCCGCGCCTTCTCTCGACTGCCCAACCACTTGTTTGGCCTCGCGCCGCGGACGACCCGCCCGCGCCGCTGGGACCCTCCCGGGGCGACCAGCGCGCGTCGCGGGAACTCCGTGCTGCGGTCTCCCCTGCGCCTTGCCCGCTATCAGCCAGCCAGCCAGCTAGCTAGCTAGCTCTCTTTGCTCCGCGCAGCGGACGACCCGCGCGCGTCGCTGGACCCTTCCGGGGCGGCCGGCGCGCGTCGCGGGGACTCCGCGCCGCGCTGCGCCCGCAGCTTCGGACGTTGGAGTGCGCGGGCAAAGAGGGAGGAATTAGCCTGGCGAAGGACCCAACCATATGCAGTTGTGAATGCCGCAATTGTGCTGGGTGGTGGCGGCCGCATGCGGGCGGTGCCACTGGAACCTTCGGTGGAGCTCCCTATAAGGCTACGAAGCGCTGTTCTGGGTGGGTGAAGCGCAGGGAACAAGGGCTGTGCTGGGTGGTGGCGGACGCAAGCGGGCAGTGCCACTGGGACCTTTGGTGGAGCCCCCTATGGGGCCACGAAACGTGCGAGGGGTGTGCCAGAATGGGGTGCGGAAGCGCATGCCAGCGGAGCCACTGGGGCCTTCGGTGGAACTCCCTATCGAGCCACGAAGCGTGTGAGGGGTATGCTGAAATGGGGGGTGGAACCGCATGCGAGCGCAGCCACTGGAGCGTTCGGTGGAGCTCCCTATGGGGCCACGAAACGTGCGAGGGGTGTGCCAGAATGGGGGGTGGAACCGCATGCGAGCGCAGCCACTGGGGCCTTCGGTGGAGCTCCCTATGGGGCCACGAAACGTGTGAGGGGTGTGCCGAAATGGGGGGGGGAACCACATGCGAGCGCAGCCACTGGGGCGTTCGGTGGAGCTCCCCATGGAGCCACCCACGAAGCGTGTGAGGGGTGTGCCGAAATGGGGGGTGGAACCGCATGCGAGCGCAGCCACTGGAGCTTCGGTGGAGCTCCCTATGGGGCCACGAAACGTGTGAGGGGTGTGCCAGAATGGGGGTGGACCGCATAATGGAACCGATGTGGGCGCAGCCACTGGGGCCTTCGGTGGAGCTCCCTATGGGGCCACGAAACGTGTGAGGGGTGTGCCGAATGGGGGGTGGAACCGCATGCGGGCGCAGCCACTGGGGCCTTCGGTGGAGCTCCCTATGGGGCCACGAACGTGTGAGGGGTGTGCCAGAAGGGGGTGGAACCGCATGCGGGCGCAGCCACTGGGGCCTTCGGTGGAGCTCCCTCCCTATGGGTGCCACGAAACGTGTGAGGGGTGTGCCAGAATGGGGGGTGGAACCGCATGCGAGCGCAGCCACTGGGGCCTTCGGTGGAGCTCCCTATGGGGCCACGAAGCGTGTGAGGGGTGTGCCAAATGGGGGGTGGAACCGCATGCGGAGCGCAGCCACTGGGGCCTTCGGTGGAGCTCCCTATGGGGCCACGAAACGTGTGAGGGGTGTGCCAAAATGGGGGGTGGAACCGCATGCGAGCGCAGCCACTGGGGCCTTCGGTGGAGCTCCCTATGGGGCCACGAAACGTGTGAGGGGTGTGCCAGAATGGGGGTGGAAACCGCATGCGGGCGCAGCCACTGGGGCCTTCGGTGGAGCTCCCTATGGGGCCACGAAACGTGTGAGGGGTGTGCCTGAATGGGGGGTGGAACCGCATGCGGGCGCAGCCACTGGGGCCTTCGGTGGAGCTCCCTATGGGGCCACGAAACGTGTGAGGGGTGTGCCAGAATGGGGGTGGAACCGCTGCGGGCGCAGCCACTGGGGCCTTCGGTGGAGCTCCCTATGGGGCCACGAAACGTGTGAGGGGTATGCCAAAATTGGGGGTGGAACCGCATGCGAGCGCAGCCACTGGGGCCTTCGGTGGAGCTCCCTATGGAGCCACGAAGCGTGTGAGGGGTGTGCCGAAATGGGGGGTGGAACCGCATGCGAGCGCAGCCACTGGGGCCTTCGGTGGAGCTCCCTATGGGGCCACGAAACGCGTCAGTGGTGTGCCAGAATGGGGGGTGGAACCGCATGCGAGCGCAGCCACTGGGGCCTTCGGTGGAGCTCCTTAGGGGGCCACGAAACGTGTGAGGGGTGTGCCAGAATGGGTGTGGGAGGGGGAGGAGGGGGGAGGAGGGAGGGAGGAAGGAGGCGGGAACGAGGGGCACCGTCTCTTCAAAACGAGGACCCAACACCACAGGATGGTTGGGCAAAAAAGGGAAGGAAACGGGCGCGATCCTCGTGATGGGGCGTGCCGACATGGGCGTCGCGGCGTGCGGGCGCTGCCGCTGGGGTTCCCGCGGAAGCCTTTTGCGGCGGCCACGCTCAGTGTCACGAGTGCACAGACAGACATACCAGAACCATTCACATTCATATGCATTTACACGAGGCGTAGCCATGATCGCACTCGTGCAAATACATTCGTTCGCACGCAGACTCATTCACACTTAGACTCACTCGCGCTCAGATTCACCCGCGCTCAGTCTCTCACTTAATTAAACCAATCGTTTTGTTTCGTGTTGTGTGCCCCGCCACATTTCGGCACGCCCCTCATACGGTTCGTGGGCACCACCGAAAAAGATACTCACAATTGCGGTACTCACAACTGCATATGGTTGGGCCCTTCGCCGGGATAGTGTTTTCCCCAACCATCCTTAGCGCCCCACGTCCCTCCTCCTTCTTTCCTTCCTGCTCCCCCTCCTCCTCCCCCTCCTCCCTCCTCCGCAGTTCGCGCCCACCCAGTGCAGCGTTTCGTGGCCCCAGAAGGAGCTCCACCGGAGGTCCCAGTGGTGATGTTCGCATGCGTCCCCCCCGCCCAGTACAGCGTCCCCAGAGGGAGCTCCACCTAAGGTCCCAGTGGCGCAGTTCGCATGCGTCTCCCCCACCCAGCACAGCACTGCGTGGCCCCAGAGGGAGCGAAGGTCCCAGTGGCGCAGTTTGCATGCGTCTCCCCAGCCCAGTACGGCGTTTCGTGGCCATCGGGAGCTCCACGGAAGACGATATCCACAACTGCGGTACTCACAACTGCATATGGTTGGGTTCTTCGTCAAGCTAGTTTTTGTAACTATTTTAGAATGTTCCTCCTGTAGAAGGACATGCCCGACTGAAACCCACGGCCGATCTCGGCCGCGTCGCTCCAGGGCGCATGGGATCAGTGCACGTGCCTTCCCTGGCCAGACCACGAGGGCAAATATAGTCAACCTGCATAGTAAGGATGGGCAACCGTCCCAAGGGTGCCCTTGCATCCTCGCCTCCTCGGTCCATTTTTCGCCACTTCCGTTGGCCGCGCCCCGCTCGAACGGCCTCGAAATTGGGCGTCTCGCACCCCCATCGCGCATCCTTGCTGTACGGGTGGACTGTACGCCGACTTGGGGGAACACGCAATGCGACAAACTCAATGCCCACACGACCCCACCCGTGACTATCGGGGGCGGCAAAGAGGGGGGGGTCCAAGAGGGGGCGGTGCAAATCATGACCGGCGGCATGTGCGCGGCCCAGCGGGGGGGCCAGGGACGTCATGAAACAAGAGGAGGCGCCGTGAAATCTGGGGAACCATCCTGGCCCCCGCCATGATATCCACCCCCCCCTGGTCATCAACCCCCCTCCTTGCCCCCCCCCCCGAGACTACCCCCTGGACCCCCCCGGCCCCCTGCCCGGGCTCCACGCGCCAGCACCCCACGCCACCCCGTCGGCGCTGCAGCGGCTCGTGCTGCGTCGGCCCCGGGCCTCCCCGGCCACGGCCTCTGGAGGTGGCCCGCGGTGCGGGCGAAAGACGGGCGCCGTGCCTGCCAGGTGGGCCCGCGGCGCAGCAAGGCGGGCGGCGACGGCTGGGCGATGGGTTACCGCCGAGGGATGAAGCTCGAGCGCTGAAGCCCTGCCTCCAAAGCCCAACGCGCAGTGGATGCCAACCATGCCAGGGCAGTGGAATGGGCGATGCATGAGCCATATCTGGGCCATGGAAGACCCCCTGCTCAGGACCCCTTCTTTCACCTTCCGACCCGCGCCCGCATCAGGCTCTTAGAAGGAGGTTGCTTCTGAGCAGGCGTGGGCCCGCGCCTTCCAAGAAGCGGCCTCGTGATAGGAAAAGCCTCTCCTCCCGCCCCCATACCCCACCCCGCGCGTACAGTCGTTGTGCTGCCTTCTGGAACGCCCAGCCGCCGGCTGTCCTGGCCCCTCTCTGACTACCTACCAGACCACCCCAACCCAACCCGAAGACCCGAATTGGACCCGAATTTCGGGCTGGGGGGGGTACGGGTTCCATGTGTGTGTTTTTCAATGTTCCCCGACCCCCCCCCACTGGAAATCGAAGATAAATTCGGGCCTTCGGGTTGGGTTGGGGTGGTCTGGTGGGTGGTGGCTCTCCTCCTCGCCCCCTCCGCCGAGGCGCGGGGGCCGCCAGAGCAGTGATCCCCCGCGCGGAACACGGCAGGCGAGGGCACCGCCTCGGGCGCCGAGGCCGGCAGGCCTCGGCCTGGCTGCGACCCGCCCCTCCCAGGCTGCTGCCGTGCCCCCGCCCCCCCGCTGCGGCTGGCGGCGGCTGCTGCGAGGGGCGGCGGCCGCCTCCGCGCCCGCCTTCTGCGAGAAGTAGGAGACGCCCGAGAGCAGCAGCAGCGTGCCCAGGTTGGCGGAGGCGAAGCTGACCATTCCCTTGTGGAATCGCCTCGCGCGGCGGTCGGGGGTCCCTGATCCGGGGCATTGCTGGCCAGGAGTTTGAGAATTCCGCGTGGAAAGACCGAAGAATGGAGGACGTTCCGGTCCACGTCCACAATCTTTTCGGGCGCGCTCAATGCCCTAGTTTACCAATGTCCCCGTTCACGGGGATGAGGGGCAGCGCTAGGGGGGGGACTGGCTCGGGGGGGGGGGACATCGACCTGGAATCGGCGACGCCTCGCTGGTAATTCGGTGATGGCCCCCCGATCCCCGACAGCCACGCCACATGTTCCTGGGAAGGGCGGGCAATCGGGCCCCTATCAGCGATCAGTGGGCGATCGGGGGCCGACGCATCCCCCACTGAACCTACAGGCCTCATAAGGAATTAGCAAACATTTACAGTCGGGGCGTTGACCTAAGGAACCCTAGATAAAGGAACGAGGCCCCCTTTTTCCATAAGTTAAACTTCCTTAAGGAACGCGGAGCCCCTTCCCAACCAAAACGGTTCCTTCTTCAGGGCCCCGACTGTATGCCGCAATCATATGTCAATGCTCCCCCCAACGATCAATTTTGGATGTGGGTTGAATGAGCTGCACTTCGGCCGCAGTCTCCGCAGCGAGTGCCAACTTTGTGCTTGGGGGGGCGGAGGAGTGTCCACTCATTGTTTCGTTCTGCCGTGTCTCCCCCCCAACGTTGCCCCTGAAAACCCGGGACAAGAAACACGCAAACACGAGTCAAGAACAAAGGGGGTCGAGACTACGCGTGTGCCGTCCCAGAGGAGCGTCCTTGCGGGGGGTCAGGCCGTGGCGCCCAGGCGCAGGCGAGTGTCGAAAAGTGTGCGGAGAGAGTAAACCTAAACAATGTTTTCTTTTCCGTCTTGCCACACACAGTGACTCAAGGGATCGCGCTTCTGGTTTGAAGACATGGGTTGTGCTTGTGGCCCCCTCTTGGCGCCCGGGTGGCCACGCCTCCTACCCCCCCACCGGGCTCCGTGGGCGCTTCTCCCAGCAGCCGATGGGAAGACCACGCGCGCACGCACGAACGCGCGCACGCGCACGCGCACGCGCACGCGCACGCGCACGCGCACGAAAACGTACACCCACGCGTAATTGCGCACGCACAGGCACGCATGCGCGCATTCGCACGCACTGCGCACTACACGTTACAAACCGCACGTACTACACGCACTACGCACACGACACACACCACGCATACAATACACACCAAACGCTACGCACAGTGTGTTTGTGTGTGGGCTTGCCACGCACACACACACACACACACACACACACACACGCACACACACGACGCACACACACGACGCACACACGACGCACACGCGCACGCGCACGCGCACACCCGCACCCGTGCCCACACCCCCACACACGCGCACACACACATAAGCACGCACACACAGGCACACAAGCACATTGACGCACAAACGCGCATACGGACACACACCCAAGGACGCGCAAACACGCTCACGCACATACGCACTTACACGCCCACCTCTTGTTTTGCTTGTCGGCGGCGAGGCAGAACGGCTGCACCGACGATAAAGCTAAAACGGGGGCACCGAAATCCCACCAGCCCTCTGGGCGTCGGTGGTTGAGAGAGTTTCCTCTTCCACAACCCCCTTCTTCCCATTCGGGAGGGGTTTACCCCTCCCCCTCCCCCCCCTGGACCTGGAGGGGGGGGGGCGCGAGGTGTCAGGGCGTCCAAAACGGCCTCGGCGAGGAAACCAATATCATTGATGTTACTTTGGTTTGGGCACCATTTTGGCCTCTTTGGGGGGGACGCTAATTGAACACCCCCCCCTCCTGTGATCGATCTCGCCCAAGATGGCCCACAGATGGCCACCAAGGCTCCCAAGGGTGCCCCAAGAGGGCCCCAAGGGGTGGCCAGGAAGCCCCAACAGGCCCCCAGGATGCCCCTAAGAGGCCCCCAAGAGACCTCCAAGAGACTTCCAAGAGGCCCCAAGAGGGACCCAAAACGCTCCAAGAGGCCTCGGCGACAATGCCAAACTCGCTGATGTTACAAAGGATTTGGCCACATTCTAGCTTCCTGGGGGGGGGCACTGCTTCAGATGACTCCAAGAGCGCCTGGGAGAGCCAAAGATGATCTCCAAGATGGCTGCAGATATCCCAAGATACCTCAAGATGGCGCCCACGATGCTCCAAGATGCCACAAGACCGCTCCAACACGGCTCCAAGTGGCCAGCGAACTCCCCTGGGAGGTCCCGAAGAGGCCAACATCCTTCCAAAACCTTTGGAAAATCAATGTTTGTCGCTTTCTCGCCGAGGCCTCAAGATGGCTCCAAGATGGCCCAAGAGGGCTCCAAGAGCGCTCCCAAGGCTCCCAAGAGCGTTTCAAGATGGCCCTGAGAGGCGTCCAGGAGGCGCCAGGAGGCGCCCAAGAGGCCTCCAAGAGGCCCCCAAGAGACCCCCGAGAGGCCCCAAGAAGCTCTTGGTGGTCCCCAAACGTGGTGGTGACCATACCTGGTGGTGAGTCTCGGGCGATTTGGTGTCACCACCCGGTTTGGGGACTCGTGCGGTTTTCCGAGGATGTCCTGGACACTGGTGGGTCCAGGAGTCACAAAACCCGGTGGTGGCCCCGCGTCCCCAAACCCAGCGGTGACCTTTTTGGGGATTCCAGGTCGCCACCTGGTATCTCACCACCCGGTTTGGGGGTTCCCAAGCTCTCCGAGGCACCCAAGACGCTCTAAGAGGCGCCCGGGACCGCCAAGAGGCCCCCGAGACGCTCCAAGAAACCTCCACTGGGGGGCCCTTCCTCTGTGTGCTGCCCGCTTCCCTGATCGAGGCAATTCCTCTGGGCATCGTTTCTGGATGGGCTGGTGGGGATTCGCGAAGCGTCAACAATTCGAATTGGCCAGCATGCAGAAATAGAGAGGACAGACAGGGCGGCCACGGAGGGGGAAGAAACGGGCCCTGTCAGAGGCGGAACACTTCCGTCCCGAGGGAAGTGGCGCGGCCAGCCCCGCCATCGGAAACCATGGCAACAATCCGGCCGCAGCGTCGGGGCACCTACGGGCGATGACGGGGCCCAGTACCGAGGAGGCTGGTGATGCAGTGACGCCTCTGGTGAAGTAGAGGAGGTACTGACACGACAGGAAAAAACGACGCCTGGCCGCCCAGGTGGGTGGCTGGTTGACAAGGCGCGGCAAGTCCGCGAGCAGCCTAGGTTTCAGACTGCCACCAGCAAAACGCTGGGCCCGTGAGGTGGGTGCGGGCGGCAAGAGCAGGCCCAGCACTGAACACGGGGGGGAGCGGCCCATTGCGGCAGCGGCGTGGGCGCGATGGCGGCGCGCGGAGGGAAGGGGGCACAAGGCAAGGGAGAGGAAGGGAAGGGAAGGGCAGGGAGGAGGAGCGCCCCGCCTTTCGGGAGTTCCCCGCAGGCGGGGCGGCAGCCAAAGCGCCGTCGCCCGTCTGAGCTGGAGGCAGGCGGCCCGCGCGCTGTGCCGCTGCGGACGCCTGTGCGCGCTGCTGTGGTGGGCAGGGTTCGGCCACGCGCAGGGGGGAGAGGGGTGAGGGGGGAAGGCTTCTTAGAAGCACCCCTGCTTCTTAGAAGGCGCGGGCCTTCTCTACACATGTGAGGCCAGCGCCTTCTAAAAAACAGCCCCCTTCTAAGAAGCCTTCCCCCCTCCCCCTACCCCCACCTGCGCGCCGCGAAAGGTGAAGGCGCCCCAGGACACACAAATAAATACACACACATAAAACAATTCCCCATATTTTCCCATATGTTCTGGGTTTTTGTCTTCCCCACCACTTCCCATATTTTTCCATATTCTCTGGATAATGAAGGATTAATTGTGTCTGTGTGTTTCTTTTAAGGGTAGGGCAGCGGGCGCACGCCCCGCGGCCGCTCAGCGAGAGGCTGCGGATCGGGCGCGCAGCCCGGAACAAGACCGCGGCAGAGGCCGTGGGGCCACGCGCCGCCGGGGGTGGACAGTGCGTGGCGGGTCTGGAGTCGTTTTTTTTTTTATTTTATTTTATTATTATTATTATTATTATTATTATTATTATTATTATTATTATTATTATTATTATTTATTTAATATATATATATATATATATATATAAATCTTCGAGCACCCGCGAGCAGGCGCGTGGTCATGCTTTCAATTCAACAAGGGGGAAGGAGGGCGAGAGGGCAAGGCACGTCTAGCGGCCTCACGATGCCCACGACCACCTTCACGAGTCGCCCTGTCGCCTGGCGTGCTCCAGGGCCGCGAGCGCCGCTCTCACAGCTAGAGTCGGGGGCTTGACCTAAGGAACCCCAAATAAGGAACGAGGCCCCTTTTTTCCATTAGTTAAACTTCGATTTCCGATCGAAAACATGAGGAAAGCCTGAGGCAAGCTGCGAAACACTCAAGGAACGCGGAGCCCCTCCCCAACGAAAAGGGTTCCTTCTTCAGGGCCCCGACTGTAGGGGCACCTAACTGCCACTGCGAATATATGGCAGCCGAGGCCGTGGAGAGCTGCGCGCTGTCAGAGTGGGCGGCGCGCGGCCGATCAAGGGGCACCTGACGGGTGCAGGATCCTGTATGAAAGGTCCCAGCTGAAAGAATTCGCCACGCGCCGCCGGGGCGGTTGGCGCGTGGCGTCTAGGAGCGTCAGGGTGGCTCATAGAGTGCGGCGAAGAGGCTGAGACTGCGACTGGGTGCCCCGCACTGTTCTGGGTGGGCGGTGCGCTGCGTTAGCGTGCCGATGCGGGGCAACTTGGATGCACAAAGGCCACAGGGAGAATGCGACCGCAGTCTGCGTACTGGCCTGGGGGGCCTGAACTGAGCAGGGGCGACGGCCAGGTTGGGTTCCCATCTGGTAGACCTGCTGTACTGGGAGAGCAGCTCGGGGAGGTGGGGGTGGGCGAGCAGTGTCTGAAGGGGCCCAGGGACACACGAATAAATACACACAAATACAAATATTCCCCATATTTTTACATATTTTCTAGGTTTCTGTCTCCCCCCCCACTGCCCATATCTTCCCAGAT